TGTCGGGAGTTTAAGCAATGAGGCATGTGAATATATAATTTAATAAAGCATATAGTATTTAATTATATTATGGAGGACTTGAAGAAAAGAATATTAAAAAATAGGAGTAGAAGGGGATGAATCATTCTCTAACGAAGAAGTTATAAGTTAGTGGAAGACGTGCTTGCAACTCTTATTTTCTCTTAAGCTCATGTGATACATAGCAGTGCCGGAGCCAGGATTTCAATAAGGGGGTTTAAAATCTGAAAAAATAGACACACGAAATAGTCGAAGGGGGTTCGCCATCTACTATAAATTATTTTAACCATATATAAATAGTATAATTTTCCGCCGAAGGAGGTTCGGATGAACCCCTGAGAATAAGATGGCTCCGTCACTGATACATAGGGTGTGCTCGGTACGAAAGTAAAATATTATTTTAAAAGTATTTATATATAATCTAGACAAATATTATGCGAGGAAGTAAAAGAATAGATGGTAGGGATGGAGGCAACGTTGTGAGGGTGAACATGTGGTATACTTGTAGAGCTTATTTTCCTCCGAAAAATTATTTTTCTTCATTTTTAAGGAATTTATATTTTCAAAAAAAATATTTATAAATTTTTTTGACCAAGCAAATACGAGAATATTGAAAAATATGAACACATCCATAGTCTCTTGACTATTTGCTAATAAAATATTGAGGTTTAGTTAAATGGCTCTTAATATGTGCAAAAACATGAATCATAATGGAATTGTCAACAACAATAAACAAAGAAAAGGAAAAAGAAATTCTTAACAAAGTTCGACTAAATATTATTTTTCAAGAAATTCATATATTTTTCTCTTTCCTCTTTCTAATTTTCGGCCATAATTATCTTGTAAGAGATTATTTATAAGTAACTTTTAATAATAATGAATAGTTTAATAATTTTATAAAATAAATTATAAAATTAATAATCATTTGAGAAATTAACTCATGATTAAGATAATTCACAGAAAAAAGTATTGAAAAACTAAAAACTCTTGTACTGGAAGATATTTCAATCTATTTTTTGCTTTACAACAACTACATAAAATATCTTTTTTTTAATAACAAGTGATGGTAAAGGTCGCATGCAAAAATAAATAATTTGGATAAACTTTGACTTCCAATAAAATTCTAGTCTTTTGATGCAACTGTGTAAACAAATTAGGGGTGTCAGTAGTTTGGTTCGTATCAATTTTTTTAGTTATTCTATAATGTATAATCGTAACTAACATTTCAAAACTGTCTTAATTATTTTATTTTCATAAGGTTTGGTTAATTTTATTTTTTAAAATTAATATGAGTGGAGATTTCAGAAACATGTTTGACCACTATAACAGTGTTTTCCTTGTCGTGCCTCGAGATACTTGAATTATCCTACTCATAATTTTAAGATGGTACAATGATTTTTGCGCGATAGATTCAGAGACAATACTTATACAACGAATCCAATGAGATTATGTTCAGCCTGAAAGATCTGATATTTACATTGATGGGCTAAACTACTCAATGTGCATTGTGTATCATCTTGAAAAGACAAACATTGATGGCTAATATCACGTTATTATCACGTAAACTGCTCTATATTCTATAAGCTGAATACTATAGCAAACAAAACTATTAATCTCAACATTTTATACAGAGACACCTAATGGTTTGTTCTGTAACAATACTGAAATAGGTTACACACAAGTTTTCTTTAACATCCACTATATGTTATGAAAGTCTCAAACTCCACAACTATCAAGTCCCCCAAACATACCCGAAAGCCAATTAGACGAATGATATGACAGTTTCTGCTATTATCTGAGTTGAACTTAACAGCAACGTAACTCAGGAGATGTATAGCAGATTCCAATGCACCCCATAAATATTTGAAAAAAGGTACCAGACTTACTTTGTAAATATGCAATGTAGGAACAGGAGGTCAGTGGTTTCTTGCCCTTCTCCGCAAAGATCGAGTCTACTGCACATCGCTTAACCAATACTTTGTAATCTGTTCATCCAAAGCAAGCCGTCTTTGTTGGAGCTTCAGTCTTCCATAACATCTTCCAAGGCCAAGTTAAGTCCCAATGACCTGCTTTCTTTTGTAATAAAGTATCAACTGTTCTTGACTGGAAACATCCATATTTTGCTGCTGACCATCACTGGTTGATATCAAGAGTAATAGGTTCCAACAATTGTAAGAGTTGACAAACGTCGATCAATTGAATTCCTCCTAAACAGTAGCTGTCATTCAGAGTTAAGGAAGCATTCAGACCCTTATAATATTGGTCTGTATTATATAACTAACTCTTAAGTAGAATACTACTATCAATTTGGCACGTCATACTTCTGTTTTGGACATTGTTATCTTGTCACGTACGTACCCAATGAAGAGCAAGGTATTTCAAGTGTCTCTAAAGGTGAAACTCACTTCAGAACATAGAGATGAATTATTGAGATTGTCATTGTCCAACTTCTCAAAAATTTTGGTTGGAACAAGAGTCAAGACAACAAATTGGCAAATAAGAGGACAGCTTGAAGAAGACATCGAATTCCACAAATTTATGACTGGGTTTCCAAGTAGATAACGTACGGTTTATTTTTTGTACCTTTCTACACACTGGTTTCAATTAAGCTATAACCCATCTCTTTCTTCAAATTCTTCTCATCCTTGAGTTGTCTCAACTGTTTGACATCTTTCCATCTGCCCTGCTCTGAGTATAGGTTTGATAGAATATCAAAATAGCTGGTATTTTCTGGGTCTAAAGCAATACGCTGTTTGAAAATAGTTTCAGAGATTTCAACTGATACACGAGTCTTTCTACAACCAGCAAGCAGAGTTCCCCATATCCTCTTATCAGGCGCAATAGGCATGTTGTTGACGAATTCAAAAGCTTCTTCTATATTGCCTTGACGACTAAGCATATCAACCATGCAAGCATAATGTGCAAGTTTTGGAGTAACACCGAATTGCTCTTCCATAGCATGAAACCAGTTCCACCCCTCATATTCAAGACCACAATGGCTGCATGCAGATAGAACAGAAACGAAAACAACATCATTTGGTTTTATCCCAGAGTTTAACATGTCTGAGAAACACTGAAGAGCCTCATTTCCATGCCCATTTATTCCATAACCATTGATCATTGAGCTCCAACAGATAAGATCTACGTTAGGACATTCACTGAAAATTGCCTGTCCTTGGCTTATGCGTCCAAATCTGCAATACATGTCAATAAGTGAGGATATCAAAAATGCATTGGATGTATTTCCCAATTTTATCACTTGTGCGTGTACCCCTTCTCCAATCACTTCAGCAGCGATCGAAGAACAAGCCTGTATTAAACTAACATAGATGATTTCATTAGGCTTCTCATTTGCTGATTGCATCTGTCGATATATATCAAGTGCATTACTAGGGCACTCACTTTGGGCATATGCTGCAATCATGGTACTCCAGGCAATAAGATCTTTTGATTTTAGGGGATCAAACAGGCTCCTAGCCGACTCAATATCACCAAAACCGCCATATATGTGAAGAAGAGCAGTCACTACTGAAACACATCCCAGAAATCCCTGCTTGAGCGCGAAGCTGTGAAAACACTGTCCAATTTTAATCTCATCCAGTTGTGACAATGCTCCAATCACTTCACGAATAACACCCTCATCCGGTTCAAAGCAACAATACCTCATCTCAGAGAACAAGCTCAAAGCCTCATTGAAACAACCATTTTCTACGCATCCATGAATCATACTCCTCCATGAAACAAGATCCTTCTTCTCTATTCCACGAAAAACAGTAATGGAAGCCTTCAAACTCCCACATTTGGCATACATATCCACAAGCGAATTTTGGATATTAACATGGGATATAGACGAAACTTTTATTGAATAAGCGTGAATTTCTTTTCCAATACTCAGAGCACCAAGATTGGCACAAGCAGGGACAATCCCCACAATGCTAACATAATTTGGCTCCACACCACAAAGTTGCATTTCCCTGAAAAGCTCAATAGCCTCGACATACTCTCCACTCTTGACACAAGCTGAAGCCATTGCACTCCACAAAATTACATCTTTCTCCTTTGTGTGATTAAACAATTGCCATGCAGTATCCATATCCCAAATAGCGTAAACACCAACAAGAGCCGTTACAACAGGTAGTTCAATTTCAAATCCCATTTTGATAGTAAACCCATGAATTCCTCTCACCATAGGCTGCCATTTTTCGGCAGCTCTTATAACACTTAAAACTGTAACATGATTGGGTTTGTGTTCATCTTTTAGCATTGTTTTGAACAAGTTGATGGCTTCTATGGATTGGTTTTCCCTTACCAAACTGGATATCTGTGATGTCCATGCTCTCACATTTTGTTTTTCAGCAAACTTAATTGGGTCCACGAAAAAAGAGCTTTCGCGAAAAGTTAATGAAATTCTTGACGAGTAACATCTCTTTGACATTTTAGCAAACATCTTGTATGCATGCATTTCCATCAAATGAAATCATTTAGCCTACGCCAAAAACAGAGCTCATAGGACTTGGATTATACTGCATAAATACGTGTGCTAGATGTAAAGAGAAGAATTTATGCATATTCGCATAGCAGCACTGTCTAAAGTGACGAACCTCAAGGCTAAAATAAGAGAAAAACAGTGCTGCCCTTTTTTATCCCTTAATTAGTATTAGTAACCATATATTATAGGTTTTGGCGGACAAAGTTATCTGATACTTATGGTTAGTGGGAGTTAGTACTAGTAACCATCTATTCTAGGTTTGGTAGACAGAGTTATCCGATACTTATTGCTAGTGAGAGGTGATAAGTATGTGAAATTAATCGAGGTGCCACACCAATATTATCTTAGCTTTAATTATTTATTCCGCAAATCATTTTTCAAACCCACTACTAAAGACCAATTAAAATGGAATATTAAATTGAAACGTCTTAATTTTACTTGTATTCCGTTCAATTTTCACTATTGATTTATTTTCCTCACCAAACTGGATATTTTAGACGAGTAAACGTCTCTTTGACATTTTAGCAAACACCTTGTATGCATTTTCACCAATTGAATTCATTTCCCATTCGCCTACTTGTCTGATGAGGATTAAGAGAGGGATTGATGCAGATTTGTTCAAGTAGATCCTGGAAGGAAAAATGAAAAAAGAATCAGCTTTTGGTCCTGTTGGTATTCTGTAAGTGGCAGTTTTATACTTTAATAGCTACTAATGTCCTTGTTTGGATGGTTATTACATATCGTTTCATAACTTATCGTATTTTATTGTATTGTTTTGAAATGCGTTTGAATAGATGGTATTATTTCTTGTTGTTACATAAAGAGCAGGGTATAAGGTACAGTTATTTGGATAAAAAAAAGATTATTAAATTACAAGCAATGGCAAAATGAGAAGAAAAAAAGGTAACGAAGCGATAACACTATAAGATGGAACTTTTCATGGTTATGTAAGGATGAATTTAACATTACCATACAATAAAGTTTAAATAACAATCGAAACAAACACTGTATTCAAAGTAACAAAACGATATGATACTATTAGGTAATAATCATCCAAACAAGTTAGTTCAGCTGTTCTTCTCAGTTGTACAGTGGGGTTTCCTAGTTCAGTTTATCTACTTTATTCGTAAGATTGAGTCCTGTTTATGAGTTCTCATAAATAATTCAGATACTTTTGATCATTTACTGGAGTAGTAGATTCTCTTTTATCATAATCTATTAATGTTTCTCTTTGTTTTTTCTTCAGAGATGGCTTCAATGATCATAAAAGCACAATCTCAGCAGTAGCTCTCTACATGTTAAAATCGTAAGTGTCACATCTAGTAGACTGCTGCTGCCAGGTGATCAAAAACAAAATGAGAAGTGGACCATAATTGCAAAATTTTCAGGGGTCCCTTCTAAGGTGACTCTGAGGTTATGTCTCAAATCTTCCATTTCCGATACAGGCATAAATTGGCGTCTATGTGTATGCAATCCATAAATTTGTAAACCTTGTGAGAGAAGTCATGGTTGCATCAGTTTTCTCTGTGATTTTTCGTCTTTCATGCATTTCAGTTGATATTTTGTGGCTTCAATCAGAGGCGAATCCTACATATTTGTAAGTTGTGGATGCAAGTTCAACAACCACCACCTCTGACTCAAACTATATGCATTAAATTTTGTAAAGCATGTTAGTTGGATGCATGTGACCCATGCCTCTAACTTGAATTTAATATTTACAGGTGCAACCACTATCTTTAAATCGTAGATCAACCTCAAAGTATATCCTGTAATTTCTTGCTTAACCTAGAACTCTCACTAATTATGAGTTTCATGGATTTTAGTCGAGATACTGGAAACTTTATTTGGTGCCTTTTGATGGACCAAATATGTCTGCCACAATACCTAACTATTTTAGAAAGAAAAAGGGCTGGCCAAGAATTGAATATTTGTTTGGTCCCTACAAGTAACGAATTCTGTCAGCACTCAACAAAAGATTAATCATTAGCTTCCTTTCTTACATTGGCTCTTTTATCATTAAAACCATAACATGTCAGTTGGTAAACTGGACACCGTTATACAATATCATCCATGCTCTCTCCTATGGCCATTGTAGTTGCAACTGGAAATTTCACCTATGATATTGGATGCATAAATGGTTTTAAATATTGGTTTCTGAGATTCTGGTGTTTTAATAGATTTTGTTCTTGTGTGCTATATTTGAGGCGGATATGGCTTGTATTAGAGTAAACTTGAAACCTGGTATACCACTGTTAAACTGAAGCATGTATTGTTAGGGATTTAGAGAAGTACGTACAGAGCCAGAGCTATTCTTTGATGACTGTAAGATGAGGCGTATTTACTACAAAGTGATTCCAGTTATTGTTACTGTGAGAAATATAGGAAAAGAATATTATTGAATTGTATTTCTAAATAGTTACATTGAGACCCTATTTATAGACACTACATTGGAATCCTTTTCCAACTAGGATTCCTATTCTTATTCCTATTCCTATTCCTATTCATATTCCTATTCTAAGTAGGAAATACTTATTTCTATTCTAACACTCCCCCTCAAGCTGGTGCATACAAATCATATGTACCTAGCTTGTTACAGATGTAATTAATACGAGGACATGTGAGGGACTTGGTGAAGATATCTGCAAGCTGATCATTTGACTTCACAAATTTTGTAACAATATCTCCCGAGAGTATCTTTTCTCTGACAAAGTGACAGTCAATCTCAATGTGCTTAGTCCTTTCATGAAACACTGGATTTGATGCGATATGAAGAGCCGCTTGATTATCACACACAAGTTCCATCTGATCAACTTTGCCAAATTTTAGTTCTCCCAGCAACTGTTTGATCCAAACTAGCTCACAAGTTGCTGTCGCCATTGCTCGATATTCTGATTCTGCACTAGATCGAGCAACCACATTCTGTTTCTTACTCTTCCACGACACCAAATTACCTCCTACTAAAACACAATATCCGGATGTCGAACGTCTGTCAGAGGGTGATCCTGCCCAATCAGCGTCTGTATATCCAATGATATGCTCATGGCCTTGATCCTCAAAGAGTAGTCCTTTACCGGGAGCTGACTTTATATATCGCAGAATACGAACAACTGCTTCCCAATGACTATCACAAGGGGAAGTCATAAACTGACTTACAACACTCACAGGAAAAGAGATGTCAGGTCTAGTCACTGTGAGATAATTCAACTTTCCAACAAGCCGTCTATACCTTTCAGGATTACTAACCATGTTAAATTAGGTCTTAGGCCTAACTCACACCCCAAAAGCTAGCTCAAAGGGAGGAGGATTGCCCAAGCCTTA